CCAGCCAAATATAACTGTTCCTAGGCATTTACAATAATTTTGCATATTTGGTGAAAACACACTTTTATTATAAGTTAGGTTTTGAACCCAATACATCTTTACAGTGACGTTATCCTTACAGTTCCGCTATGCCAATAAGAAGGATACCACCATCCTCATCTTAAGTTTTCTTGCTGCTGTTGGTAACGGTCTTCTGTCTCCAATCAACGTGACTGTACTCTTCAAACCTCTTCTTGCTATATTCATTGAAGTTGAGACTCCTGGAAATGTGAGTAATAAGGTTATTTTTCAAATTTATTATGATTGTCGATTGTAAAAGTATTAGTAATGAATATTATTTCTTGACATATTGTAGCCACATCATATCAACATAACTGCAGAGGCTGCCCGGTTCACAGATTTCGGATATAAATATTTCATTTTTGGTGCTTTGAATTTCATCTTTGGATTCATTCAGGTAGAACTCACTTTACTGTAAGTCTTATTATTTGGGTCTTTTTAAAATTTCAATCAAATTTACACTAATTATATCACTATACTAATAATAGGAATAAATCACAACTGAAAGTAGCGAAATATATTTTTCAATTGATCTATGCTTTTGGAAGCTTACATATAATTTATTGTTTTTTAAAAATTTTAGTTATATGATCTAAAAAAAAAAAGGAAATGTTGTTTTCTCACCTAGATGTACTAACATTGTATAATTAGTCATTGTATAATTATTCAAATTATTATCTCATTAGTCCAGTTATGCGCTAACAATTGATATCGTCCTGAATGTTACCATATATTTATATATATACAATCATCTGTTGGATATCTATTTCAATATTATTTTTTTTAAATAAAACCAACTTAATTTTCCTGCCTTTTATACCAATGTAAACAATTATTTTAATGTTTCAGATCATGGCATCAGAAATAGCTGCCCGTAATATAATGGCTAAAATAAAGACCGCCTACTTGGCCAAGATGCTCTCAATTGAGATAGGCTGGTATGATAAGTCTCAAGAGCAGTTTGTCAGTACTGTGTCACAGTAAGTCTTTACAACAATATAATATTAAATAATAAAAGGAATTTTCCAAAATAATTACAAGCTTTTTCAAAATGACCTAATATATAAATGATGATATATATGTTAACCTCAGAAATTTCCCATCCAAATTCAAATTCTGAAAATTCCTGAGGCTCCAATTATTTAGGAAACGTACAGCTTAAAAAGAAAATTAATAAATAAAAACTACTCAACAACTGAAATCATTTAAAGGAAAAGTTCTGTATTTTGTTTTACTTATTCATTTCAGTGACTTACAGAAGATGATGGTCTTATTTGACAGCAAGATGACTTCAGCTGCGGAAATGTTGTCATTTTTATTTTTTGGTTGCCTAGCTGGTCTGATTGCCTCCTGGAAGGTGGCGCTTTTGACCCTCGCAATCATGTCGATCGCTATGGTTGTTATGTATTATATAATGAAAGTAAGTATTGTAACATCTATCTTATATTTTACAAATAATAATAATATAATCTCGTAAGCTCACTTCTTACCATTGGGATACTTCCTAAATAAATAAATAATAAATTGTTTAATAATAAACAAAATTATAAGAGAATGAATATATTTATTTATCTCAGGTGTGGGTTGCTGACAATCAGATCAAAACAATCAGACAAACTAAAATTAACTATACTAAGCATTGTTTGATTTTAAAATAAAGTCAAATATGGATTGGCAAGCTAACCTTTTTCTATATTATATGTTTCTTCGTTTGTGACACTGAACTCATTTGCCTTCAAACACTTTCTAATGTTCTGCCAAACAACTCTTCCAAATTGGTAACACTATTACTGGTTTACTGGAGCCAGGATCACTTCTCCTATCCTCTCTTCACTACAGCCAGACAACAACTGTTTGCCAAAACAAAAACATTTGTCCCTCTCCTCTTAGGGATTTTCCTTCTTGGGAAATTACAGAGTAGCCATTTTCTTTTCTCTGCACTAGTAGAACTAGATTAGCTTGCCTTTTAATTGTTTAATATTAATTTATTAAATCCTTTTTACCCACTTCTAACAAAGTTGTACATTACAGTATAATTGAAATTTGTTCTGAAACTCAACTTGTAATAATGTACTATACTAGATAATATGATACACGAAATACTTTCTTTTCGAAAACCTTAATAATTTTTTTATCTAGTTTATTTAATTTAAATGCTTATATCATATTGATATGCATATAATATTTGCAGGCATCGAAAAATAAAGGAAAATTGCGGCAACAGTATAGTGGAAAATGTACAAAAATTGCTTCTGAAGTACTTGGAAATGCCCGTACAGTTGCTGCTTATGGTGGGGAATACAAAGAAATTGAAAGGTATTATTTATGGACTAATTTTTTAAAGGCATTAATTTGTAGTAGACATCCCCTGGTATTTACTCCTTTATGTGACATTGTGTGAGGGAATGAGATGGAATATATAGGAATGTGAGGTTGTACGATGAATTGTACTCAATTATGCAGTGGACAAATTATTCATGGAAAGGTCTCATATCGATGAAAAAGGACGCTGGAAAAAGGAGAGCAGGTAGCAAGCGACAGCTGGAGAGTCACTGGAGGCCTGGACACGAAGACGAGAAGACGTTATCTGGGAAGAGAGGCTTACTACACTGAAGACTAAGAATATCAAGCCTACAGTTATAAGACTTTTATACATTAATTTATTACAGTTGTTAAAATAAATTGTTTTATTATACAGGGGTGAAAAGTCATTTTATATAGTTGTCCTATACGCCTCACAATTGAAGAATAATAAACAAGGTGAGTCAATCCATTTTAAGTGTATTTACTAAGTCCCACATCATATATATATTCTTATTGTTTCTTGTCACTCAGTGTCACAAAAGGTATTATATTCCCGAATTCCAACGACAGTTAAACACCTTCAAAAAGTCGATATCCAGTGCCACGGTTTTGTTTTAATATTCACAAGTGTAAATAACCTAGTTCCCCGATATAAAAGCGAAAGAATATTTACTATTCCCACCAAAATTAATTATTTACATTTAACTCTTATTAGGTTATTTACAAATTTGTACAAACAGCTATTTTAATTTTTCAATATTTATTTTTTACATGCACCTATTTACAAAATAGTATTTGAAGCATCAAATCTCGATGAAATTATTGTAAAATATTTACTCAATATATTAACTTTTATATAGGTACAGGAATACATTCAAGATGTCTAATAAATATGGGTTGAAGCACGCCACAGTGATCTCTATGGCAAAAGCCTTCAACTATTTCCAATTATGCATCTGCTACATGGTTGCTTATTACGTCTCCGTGCAGCTGTTCCTCAATGACGAGTTCAATCCTGGCGACATTGCTATTGTAAGTGATTTAGTTATGGTATTCAAATTTTTTAAATTGTACATTTACCAGGTGTGGCAGTTGATAATTCTCATTTTTTTCTTTTAAAGAAAAGTTTAAGTTAGGTGAAAGGTAAAGATAGTCTATTCTAAGAATGCGCAAATATATTTTTCCCATCTCTCTGGCAATTTTCGGATTCCCTCCCAGAAAAACTGTACATCTTTTGATGTGGTCCAATCATCAAGCCATTTCTCAACATCTCCGTAATGATCTAAATGTTTTATGGAGAGTTAGTGAGACGTCAATGAAAATTAATGGTAATCGAAAGGAGTCCATTCTGGTGAATAGAAGAGACTTTACAGTCGAGTCTTTGGCCACTTTTGCTGGGTGTGATGGGGCATTATCATGCTGCAAAATTATTATTTAATTTGTTGTAGTCCATTCTTTTATTTATTTATTTTTTTTTTTTGGGTCCTTCATTTCCTGGCCGTTAAGGTTATACGGGATTTTCCCAGGCCAGGGGGCGTGGGCGGGGATTTAAAAGACTCCCCCGGCACCGGGACGCGAACTCGTGACTATTTTTATATCTTTGATTCATAAGTCAGGTTGCCGGGCAACGGCGGTGCAGTGCACATGCTTTAGTCCATTCGGCCACCCCGCTCAGTTGTAGTCCATTCTGGTCGCTTTTCAACTATTTTTTTTTTTTATTATTTATATTTATTTTTAAAATATGACAAGGTATTAACTGTTTCACCTGGTTTGAGAAGCTCATTTGTCCTACATGGCACTCTTCTAATTCCACCAAATGCACAGCATTATCTTTTTTCCAAAGCACTTCGGTCTTGTAGTTGATGATGATTGTTTTGGGTCAACCCATGATTTTCTGAGTTTTTAGTTCTCGAATTATATCCATTTTTTATCTCCAGTAACGCTCCAATCCAAAAATGTCTTTTATGCCGAGAAAGCATAAAATCAAGTATTTTTTCCATGGCATGCAGACTATCACAAATGGTTCAGCAACAAAAATTTAACCTCTGCCATTATTGAGTTTGTATATCATCTTCATCTAACAATCCTTACAAATTAGCATCTTAAAACTTTTTCTAGTTAACTTGGGTGTACTCTGTCTTTCAATTCAAAATTTATACTTTTAAATCGCCTAATGCACAGTAGCATTTTGTGTTAAGTCAGTGTCATTGTAAGAAAACCAACACATGCCGTTAATGCTATTCGTATTTAATAATAGTTAATAATACTCTTTATAATAATTAGTTTTTAGTTGTCTTTCAAAACAAAACCCATACTGCCCAACGCCAAATAGAAATTTTCTGCATATGTAAGCAAGCTTTGAAATTGAAATTCACTAGTTTAAAATCACTCTAAGCACTCAATTTAAGACATCATTGAAAATGTGATCAAACTTGTTGACCTCAAATGATCATTTTTTTAAAAACTATTATCAGCACTATTCACTTTAATAAATTGTCTTATTTCAGGTTTGATCTAAATTTTGAAAAGGATTGATTTGGAAATAAATTGCTGATACGTTAATGCTAAATCTTATTTTCTAGATCTTAATTGCTCAAATTAATGCTGTATACCATTCCACAATCATGTTGAGTACTGTTTCTGATCTCTTCATGGCGACAGATTCGGCGTTCAGAGTAATGCAGTTCTTAGATACAGAGACCAGCTATAACGAATCTCTTGAACAAGGTGTTGTACCAGATACATTTGAAGCCAATATCTCTTTCAGAAACGTTCAGTTCTCTTATCCTACAAACTTACATACAAAGGTATATTTTTTATTCAATTCCTATTGTAAAAAAATACTAATTTTATGTTTATTTTACTTAAGTTAAAAAAATACCTTAATAAATAATATTTAAATTTTAGGTACTCCATGATCTGACATTGGACATTGAGCCCGGAAAAATCACAGCAGTCGTAGGAACTAGTGGTGCAGGAAAAAGTACTATTGTAGGTCTTACTTCGCGTCTTTATGACGTTACTGCTGGACAGGTATGTAACATTTTAATAATGTATTCAGGGTGTCTATTGGGCCTGGAAAATCTGGAAAAGTTTAGGGAATGCAAGCGAGATATTGCTGCTATGATTTTGAACCATTTTTGGTCAAAAAATGTTTACATAATTGTTAATAGATATTGCTGCTATTATTTTGAACCATTGTTGGTCATAAAAATGTTTACATAATAGGCATGCTTCTAAACTCATCGATATATGATGTTATTCATCAGACAATCACTAAACTTGTTGATAGGATTCGATGCGATTGTTTGGGTCGATGGTTCCCCTGTATATTACCTCACTGTCATTTCTCAATTTATTTTACATATTCATATTGACTTTATTTTATTTCCTATCTATATTTGTTTATGTTTTTAAATTACAAAATTATGTATGTGGGTATATTCTAAAAATTTTTTTCAAGTGTTCTGTTACCTTCCAGCTGTGTCGACATTGCCCTTTAATCCAGTAGATTGTCAGTCAAACTCATAATTAACCTCCGATCATTGCTGATGTATTTAATTAATCGGTAAATTTCATCAATGGAATTAGAATTAAGTTAAGAAACTTCCCCATATAAACACCAAATATACTACGTATGCATCTACGTCAAGCGGTTCATGATTTTAAAAATTCAAGGAATTCCATAAAAAGGTTACTTTAGACATCCTGCATTTTAGTGCATAACAATACAAATTTAACATACGTTCTAAAAATACATAATTGATATTATTTTATCATAGATTCTTGTTGGAGGAGTGGATATTAGAAAACTCAACGTCAGCTGGCTGAGAAATCAAATCGGCGTCGTGGGACAGGAACCTATGCTCTTCGATACTTCGATTGAAGAGAATATTAGATATGGTAAAACTACTGCAACATTGGAGGAGATCGTCGAAGCAGCAAAAATTTCTCATGCTCATAGTTTCATTGAAAAGTTACCTGCCGTAAGTGTGAAATTAATATTAATCAATGCATAAAAAATCTGAATCCTCCCACAGAAGAAAATCATAAATTCACATTTATGATTGTACTGAATGCAGATTTTTGTCATAGTATAGTTTTTGGACTTTGAATTTAATATTTCCTCCTTTGTATGATTTTGATTAGGAAAAAAAAGTGCCTATTTAATTGGAATAGTATTGAATTAAGCTTGCTAATTATGACTTTTAAGTCAATAAGTATTTGGTCCTGTTAAGCGAAGAGACAGAAACTATAAAACTAAATATGCCAATGTTAATGACAGCCGGTAAATAACTAGGCTCCAAATAAACATAGATAAGACAAAATATATGGTCAGCTGCGAAAATCATGATAATTCTGGTGATATCGATATAAAAGGTAATATATTTGAAAACATAGATAAGTTTAGGTATCTAGGATCTATGATAACTAGAAAAACCGAAATTGAAAAGGGAGATTAAGGTTAGGCTGTAGGTTGAAAATGCCTGTTACTTTTCTGTTAAAAAACTATCGAGCTCGCGTCTCCTGTTCAGTAACTTAAAAATTAGAATCTATAAAATCATTATCCTGCCTACCGTTTTTACGGATGTGAAACGTGGCCGCTTACATCAAGGGATGAGCCACTTCTTAAGGTTTTTGAAAATAAAGTATTGCATAGAATATTCAGACCGAAGAAGGATGAGTTAAACGAAGCGTTCAGGTAGTTAGACAACGGCAAATTGCATGAATTGTATCCGGTTAATGTAATTGAGGTGATTACATTGTAGCGAATAAAATTGACTTGTAAAATTGTTGGACTTAGCAACAAAAAAATTCCTAAAAGGTTAATATTTGCTTTGCCGACTGGTAATCTGAAGGGACCGGTGGAGGAAGGTGTGTAGACAGTGACTGGTGGTGTCAGCATCAAACCTTCGGGTTCACTAAGCCATTTATTATTATTAAGTCAATAAGTAACAAATATTAGTATTTTAAATTATTTCCTTTCATAAATGAGAGCAGTAGAACCAATTCAATATTTTCAATTTATTATTCTTAACAAGTAGTGAAATTTAATTTCTTATTTTATTTTTGTATTTATTTGTTTTAACATGATTGAGTTTGTTAGGGCTATGGTTCTATTGTTGGTGAAAGAGGAACGAAGCTATCGGGAGGTCAAAAGCAGAGAATTGCAATTGCAAGGGCGATCGTTAGAAAACCAAAACTACTCCTTCTCGATGAAGCTACTTCTGCACTAGACTCTCGTTCAGAAGTTATAGTTCAAGAAGCCCTTGATAATGCCATGCATAACAGAACAACAGTAATCATTGCCCACAGAATGTCCACCGTGAGAAAGGCAGATGTTATTTATGCTATGAAGGTAACTATTTGAATTTTTTTTATTAATTTTATCATTTACATAAACAAATATCAATAATGTTTTATCACTTAGGAAGGTCGTGTCTTGGAGAAAGGATCCCACCATGAGTTGATGGAGTTGAAAGGATATTATTACTCACTGGTCAAGGTTCAAGAACTTGAAGAAAAGGACAAAGCTGTTACCCTCAAGTAAGAAGCAACTTAAAATCAATTATTCAATTAATTTCTACCAAAAATGGCAAGCAAAAATTGTCTCATTAACATTACATACAGAATATTTTGTGGTTACTATAAGGTCTTGAAACTGTGTTGGTAAAGATAACAAGTAGGATAGATAGACAAAAACTAAAATGTAGTTACGAATGAGCTACATATTTCTCTCTGTTCAGGTGCTGAATCTTACATTTTTCATTCCCTTTGTTCGGCCACCAAATATTACATATTTTATTCCCTTCTGTTCGGGCGCCAAATTTTACTTTTTTCAGACAGGTTTCATAAAATTGACAACAATAAATTTAACAATTTATTAGTTATTTTTTCTTAATAATTTATAATACAAACATTTATTTTTAATCATAATCCTTATCAAAGGATTCTTATAATTTAGCAAATTATTATTATTATTACCTAAAAATAATCCATTTTCAATATAAAACAGTAGTCTGAATTCTAAGTGAACCAAAATAAAAAGGAAAAAAGCTAATAACCAAACTGTAGTTAATTTTTATGATTCCTTATCTGTTTTGTTCAGGCTCACTTAAAGTTATAGTAGATGAAAAATGGCAAGTTTAATTGCTTGATGTCATACCTTGTTCCTTGAATTGAAGATATTTGATAAGGGTTAGGAGAATTTGATTTCTTTCATTTTCTTGTACCAAAACTTGAGAAAATTCTGGATTTTATTTATTTTTTGTGGTGGAATAAAAAAAAAAAATATATACTATAGAAGAAATAAAAAAAAAAAGTGAAAATATAACATTTTTTCTGTGTTTTATTAATTGCATATGCACGACCAACCATCAAAATCACTACGATATATATTATAGTCTATGTATTTTTTTTTTAACAGTCAAGGAACTGCTCATAAAGAGGAAGTAATAGAAGAGGACATTCCATTCGAAGATGACAATGACTTAGATGTAACATATTTTTCCTAAACATACTTTATTGCTGTGGTAAAACCTTGTTTTCAACTTTTTCTTATTGTTATTTGCGTTTTGTTCCTACAGGTGCCTGAGAATGATAAAAAACTAAGGCTGAGTAAAAAAAACCTGAAAGTGATGGGCGTTTGGTTGTTAGCCATTTTGTTTGCTTCGACTACATCAGCATTTCTTCCCATTTTCTATTCAGTATTTAGTCTGTTTTGCCAGGTAATCAATGATTTAAAAAATATATATATTCTAATTTTAGTTGTGATTCTCAAGGCTGGAAAAGTAACTTCACCACTTTGTTTTTGTTTTCAACAGGTTTCGGCTGTCAGGCTGATATCAGTTAATTCTAGGATGGGTCCAATAAAATTAATTATCTAATGAATTATAATAAAAATAATAATTTATCAGTAACCGTAATTGAATAGCCTATCTTGATATTAAGTATAATGTTTTTCATATTGATACATATTATATTATGATTGAAATATGTTATTCTCTTATGATATTACTTAAGATTTTGTGAAATTACATTATCAATAAATTATGGGGGAAATATAATTGATGACTCAATAAACACTGTGTGATTTAATGAACACAAAACTTTGTATTATAGAACTGATGATGGCCTGGCAGTAAAAAGATGTCTTGAAAATAAAAAAAAATTAAGTAGTGAAATTACTTTTCTGGACTTAACAATCCCTATTAAACTATGTCTCTTCACCTCAAGCACAATGGTGCTACAACATTCTAATTTTAACTTCTAAATTTTTAAATACTGATTCTAATAATTTTGTTTTTAGTCTTACACACATAAAGATGAAATAAGTCAATTAGCTCTGATTGACGTTGGTATCCTTTTTGGACTAGGTGTAGTTACATTTTTCTCAGTAATTTTGTCTGTAAGTATTGTTAGTCATATTTAACTAATACATGTGTTTTTTGTATCTGTATTTACAAATATCGCTTGAGAGCCTAAACAATTCTATATTTTAATAATTTTTCACAATGCTCTATGGGTTCATTTATTAGTACTTTTTTTAAAGGGGATGATGTCAACAATAGCAACTCAATTATGGTTGAAGAAATTACAGAAAAAAGCTTTTGATAAAATAGTTTCTATGGACATCAGTTGGTTTGACAGGAGTGGAAACTCGCCTAATGAATGCCTCGAAGTTTTGACCAACAGCCCTCCTCTCATTGAATCGGTAAGTACTTCTGAAGAACAATAACGACTATTAAATTAAATAGTTTTACCACTATTTAGCCTATTTATGACCGCCACCCCGGACCATCTCCTTCCTTTATAATGCAACGGTCAACTATTAAATATTCAATAATGCCTATTGTTTTTAATAAATATATATCTTTTATTATTCACTAATGGCAATCCATAATGTATCTTTATCATTGAGATAATGTGTGGATTATTTTTACGGGAAGAAGTTGGTCGTGGGGAGAGGGGAGAGGGAAGGGTGCGGTCAAATAAATACTAAATTTTTAAAAAATAGTATTTTTAATTATTACGCCGACGTTTCAACCCACCTTGCAGGTTTTCATCAGGGCTACAAAAGATTCAAAATATAAAATATACATGATGAAAATAAAATAAATTAATTATAAGTTGATATTAAATATGGAACAGTTGTCTGATAAAGAAATAATAAGATGACTTCAGAGATATAGTGGGTGACAGTGTAGTTAAAATCTCAAGTATTATATATAGAAGATACAAACAAAAATATAAAATAAGTATGAATAAAAATAGAAAAGAAAGGAGAATATAGTGTGTAAGTTAAAAGTAAACAGATTGTGATAAAAGGTAAGAAATGAGTGTATAACAGACTGGTAAAGATTACGTTTGACAACTGTAGGTTAACAGATAAAGAATATGAGTGTTGACAAATAAAGAAATTGAAAATTGAATAAGTAATGATCTAGTAAAGCTAAAATAAGAATAAGATAACATAATAATAACATATCAGTGGATAACAAGCTAGTGGAGGTTATATTTGATAAATGTAAGTAAACAGATAACGAGACTAAAGGTTAAAAAATAAAGAAATTGAAAGATTAATACGATAACATGAGTTGTAATATTGTTAGGATAGATTTATTAAATATATATATAACTCTATAAGAAACAAATTTTTTTGAGAGAACTTTAGAATGTAAGAATAAATGTAAACAAGGTTATGATGATGAAAACAAGTTGTACTGTATATAAATGACAATTCACACTCCCCGACCAACTCTTTCTCAATTATATCACGATCAACCATCTCTACATCATTACCGATTATTTTTACAATTTTTTTTTTCATTTATATATATAAGTCATTTCCCCTTCTACATCATCCAACCATCTGATCCAAGATGGTTTTCTTCCATCACCTGGCTTTCCATAATTTAGTTTTTTTAGAATTCTTCTTAGGTCTGTTCTCTTCTTGTTAGGTCCGACTGGTCCATGAATTTTACATCTCCATACTTCCAGGATCCTTTTGCTCTCGTTAGTCAAGGCTCTTGTAGCTCTGAATCCATATCCTCGTTTTCTCTCCGGTCATCTGGTATATTCTTGATTTCTGGATGTACACTGTCTTGTCTGCATTAAGTTTAAGGATAAAATTTTCAACTTCCTCGAGAATTATTTTTAGTAGTCTTTCAAGAACTGGTAATTTGGATCCATCCAGATGTTAGATGTTCTAGGTTAATTATAAACATACACATACAAATGAATAACCTTATTTGTTATTTAGTCCAATCAATTAATAGTTATTGAAGGAAATAAAAAAACAAAATTGAAAATTTTGCTGGATACTGTTATAGTTTCACTAGATAAGGACGCTTTTGTATCATTATAGAAAAGAAAAAACAAGTTTATAAAAATTATGGCGTTCCAGTCCATTACAAAACTTATTATATATTTTTCTTAATTTTAGAGGTAGTTAATTACATTATGTTAATATATCTCATTTCTAATAAAAACAAAAACATAAATATTTTATAATTTTTGTATTGCTTAATAAATGATACAATAATTTAAAGTATAAACCTCGATTGGACAAAAAATATTCTTCACAAATAATTGGAATAGAAATTAATATGTAGTTATGAAAGATCTGTATATTCTTCTCTGTCCGGACACAAAATATTAGATTTTTTATTCAGCCATGTTCGTGCGCCATATCTTCCTGGCATTTTGATGGCAGTTTTTATAAAAGTAGCAACAAAAATTAATTTAACAATTTATTAACATAACATTTAACAATATTAATTATTGTTATCCTCTGAGCATTCATTGACTGAACTAAATAATAATAACTGAGATAAATAATATTATCATCATATTACTACCATAAGTAACAAGCTGAATTTTTTTTTTGTAAGTTTTAATTAACATCATTAATATATAAATAATTTTACAGGTGACAGGTGATCGAGCAGCGCAAGTCGTAATATTTATGCTATCATTGGTATTCTGCCTTGCCTATTCATTATTCATTAGTACAAGCGTAACACTTGCAAATTTACCGATTGTTCTTATATTCATAATCATCAACTGCTTAAGGATGAAGTCGAGAGTCGCTGACACCAGATCAGCTTCCCTAGCAACGCGGTCAACCAAGGTAAAAAATCGAGCTAATTTTACTGATTGAGTGATTATTTAAATTTGTAACATAGCAATCCTAGTTTTCTGACACCAAACTTTTTTTAGGTTGCAACTGAATACGTCCAGAATGTCAAAACTATCCAATTACTAAATTGTCAAAAGTATGTCATCGACCATTATCAGGATATGCTTGTACTTTCAAAGAAGTAAGGTTTTTGTTGTCAATATTACCTTTTTAATTCTTCATTATTTACTTTTTATTAACTAGATTTCAATTATTTATAAATTTTACATAGGGAAGCGTTTGTAAGCATTGTCTGGTACGCGGTTGTTTATGGTCTGTCTAAATCTCTGATCCGATTGTCGATGGGTACTACATTTATCTTTGGAGCCAATGATATTGCTAGTGGTAACGTAAGAGGAACATCTCTTATTGGGTAAGAATAATTATGATTAATACTTTAAATGTTTAACATATTCTGTTTGATAATAATATACCTAACATAATAATTTTATATTTATGGTAGAGATTGTTTTGTTTTTCGTTTTCTGTTTTCCTCATATTTTCATGTTACCTCACAGTAAATTTTTATGGTTTTATGATAACTTTATAACCATGAAAACAAATTTACTACTCAAAAAAGATTGTCAAAACCAAAGCCTCAAGTTTGATTCCTAAATTATTCAGTGAAATCTTGTGAGTGTTTTGAATTAATTTGAGCTCAAAACGCTGGTAAATAATTTTATAAAATGTTTTTAATCTGTCTCTTATAAGGTATGTAACAATTTTTTGAACTTGAACAGATCAATAAATTTTAAATTTGATGGCTCAAATTGTTCAGTGATATCTCATGAGTATTTTAAAACCATTTTATCTCAAAATGCTGAACAAAATATTTGATTATATTATAAGTATACTCAATTTTTGTTGGTTTCACATCATATCATGTGTAATTTAATTATCATAAACCTCTATTACTACAGCCTACTAAGTGCTATTTCAAGACCAACAGTTGTGAAGAGACGTGATCAGGCCAGGATTACACTCAACCGCTGGGTTTTTCCATTAATTATTTACTGACTGATAATTCTGATAAGGCACTGATAATATCTTCGTATTCATATTTATTTTATTATATTCATATTATTATATCTTTGTATTCATATTTATTGTATTATATTCATATTATTAAAATTGTAAACAAAAACAAATATAAAAATAAAAAAAAATTTATTTTACAAGGTATATATTAAATAGATCAAAACATTATACATATATAATATAAAAACATTACAACATAAATATAAAAATAAATGAAATAATAAAAATTGGTAAAAAAACACTTAAATAACATATTTACATATAAAAGAAACAATATAAACAAAATGTGTACATAAGAAACAATTTTATTTTAACTTAATTTATTTTGGTAGGGAAAATAGTTGTGTGCAATTTAAAATAGCAAGAGAATAGTTAATTATGGGAAGTAGCAAATTATAGGAAATAGTTAAATCATGGGATCACCCATAAATGAATTTTAAAGCCGTTAAAAAAGAAATCCTCAACCCCTCTAACCTCGTTCCTTTCCTTACAGAAACGTTTTTGTTAGAAGTTAAAAGCATTTTCATTTCGTCTTCCAGCCCAACTTCATTTGATGACCTTCATCACAATATTTCACCTTTGCAATTATCCCGGCGTCTTGACAATTTTTTATAGCCTCTTCTTCTGAAGACTGCAATTCGAATAATGTTACAGCATTCATAATTTTACGAAAATAACACTAACTCACAGCTTATATGAGGAACAAAAAATAAACAATGGAATAACTTAGGTTAGACGAGATAAGAAGGGAAGTTATGTGATATATGATTAGATAACAAGAGAGGTTTAGATCCGATCGAATATTTAACAAGTACTTCTGGGTGCACTCCAGGAGGGTCTTCTGACCCCAGGGTCGATCTATGTCTGATGAAAAATTACTTCATATCAGCCGGATTTGAACCCGTGACCTTGTGCTTAGCAGCCCAGAGCCTAACTCATTGAGCTAATCTGCTCTCATTATCATAAGTGATGAATATCTCCTTATCATAAGTGATATGTATAAATTGTCAATACTTGAAAAACTAATATAATAAAAAATAATAATGAGGAAAAAACAGAATGCATAAATAATCCTATCTATCCTAAGGTAATGTACTTACATATCTAATTAACAGATTTTTAAGAAAATTGACATATATCAATTTTTAAAATTTGTGTAGTCAGATGCCTTCCACTACTCATTATGGCTTTTGACAAGTGCATATCATCCCATGTATGGGTACACTGAGATTGTGTACGGGTAGAAGTACTCGAATATTACACAAAATTTAAATATTCATTGATGTTAGTTTTTCTAACAATAAGCTGTTGTTAAATAGATATGCAAGTACATTCTCTTAAGATGGTTAGTGTTATTTCCTTATTCTGTTATTCAAATTAAATTAATTTTTGTACATATAGATTATATATTTGTTTAGTATTGTGGCAGCATTGAGTACGGCATCCATGTTGGCAGGACCTGCCTTGATCCTAATGAGCCAGTATCCCTCAGCCAGGCAAGCCATATCACGCCTCTACAGAATCGCTTATACTAAAACATCTCTTAAGATATTGACAGATGAAGGAATGAAACCGGTAAATTTCATTATGTATCAATTATTCTAATGTAAGTTACATTTAGACAAATTTTATTGGTAGTTTTTCGATTTTAGGATATCGTTGGGAATATTGTTTTTCAAGATGTGATGTTCTCTTATCCGACAAGGGACAAAGTACAAGTTCTCAAAAAGCTCAATCTTAAGATCGAAGCAGGAAAGACTGTGGCTCTTGTGGGAGACTCGGGATGTGGTAAATCGACAATCATCTCACTTCTAGAGAGATTCTATCTTCCTACTGGAGGAAAAATAGTGAGTTTTGATATAAATCACATTTGAAGATTCTGTTGGTACATTAAATATAAACTATTTTATTCATAAAAAGGCCACTAAGGATCACTCCAAATGGAATAATGGAATGGTGAAGTGAAGCAATTAGTTAATCACTCCACTCCATTGGTTTATTTTACTTTCAGTTACCTATATGGTTCAAATCCTTCCTTTCAAATAGATCCCAGTATGCAGTCGTCCAAGGTCAACCTCCTTCTTAGACACTTCCCTTCTCCTTCTGCGTCCCTCATGGTTCCTCCCTATCTTCTATTCTGTATGCTATTTACATTGATGACCTTCCTTTTCTGATCCATCACTCCTAATACCATATCTAATGAGATGATTTCCAAATATGCCTGTCCTTCCCTCTTTCTGACCTATTAGCAAGCCACCAAAAAACTTCAAGAGGACTTAAATAGAATCTGTGACTGGGCGGATGCGAGCACGTTGAAGTTAAAAGCCAAGAAGACCAAGGCAATTTTGATAAGCTCCAGTCACCTCCTTAAAACTGTTCTTAACATAACCACCCCTATTCCTACATGATAATCCCATCAAATTCTATCCCACCATTAAGAACCTTGGAATAACTCGTAAGTAGAGGGAAATTTTTATAGGAGTGACAGTACACTTTAAGAGCTATAAAAAATTTTTTGTAAACAATGGGCTAGAATCCAATCCAAACAATGGAAATCCAAGTTTTATGTTTTTTTTAAGCAAAACGTGTGTGTGTGAAAGCAATAACTAAAGAAATAGTACAAATACTCCACTTTTATAAATATTACTTCGTTTAATAAGCTTTAAGTCTGTATTAATTAGATCAAGGTTTATTAGTGAAAAATTTAAGATGCACCTGAAGTTGTTTAAAAAATGATGTGGTTTTTTATCCCGTCATCTAAAAGTACCTGTGTTTTCAGCAAAAATGACTACAATAAATTGGGGCAAAGCTTTTATTTCAGGGGGCTGGGGTAGCTGTGAGGGCTAAGGCGCTTGCAATAGATAATCAAAGTTAAGCAATGGCGGGCGTGGTTAGCACTTGGATGGGTGACTGTCCACTTCCCCCTCCCCAGAGTATGTGAGGCCCATCAGCCTTACTCGTGGCAACTCACACCAACCCGGTGTATGATTGATGATCCTACCCCATGTACTTAAATCAGGAATTGGTAGGTGGTCTAGAAGATTACATACCACTGGACAAAGATCTTCATGGTAAGTAAGGCCAACCGAAAAAAAAGCTTTTATTTCTTATTTTTCCAAGATCTGTTATTTTTTTTAATAAACATAATAAAAATACACTTTTTACTTATAAAAAATAAAAACTTTTAAAATATTTTTCCGGCAAAATGTTTATGAAACTATATTTTGCATCAAGATCTGTAGTATAGAAATTGATCCGTATTTATAACAGACAAAATAAATAGTTCTAGTCCTGAAATGTACATTTAAAATAAAGAAATGCTGATTGCTTCAATTATTTTCATGAACATGTTAATATTAGGACTGTAAACATTTATTTTATCCTTTATGAATATGAATCAATTTCTATAATAGAGGTCTGGATGAAAAATACAGTTTCATAAACACTCTACTGTTAAAATATTAAAAAAAATTAATAATTTTTTTTATAAATAACGAGTTTATTTAGGCAATTATGTTTATTGTAAACCATTTCAGATAATGAAAAAACAATAAATGAAATCTTTGTAACAATTAATTGTTGTCCTTTTTTTTTTAAAACACGGGCACTTTTAAGTGACAGGATAAAAAAATCACATCATTTTTATACACAACTTGAGGTGAATCTTAAATTATTCCCTAATAAACCTCAACTTAATTAATATAGACATAAATATTTTTAAACGAAGAAGTTTTCCTAAAAGTAGGGTATCTGTAGTATAGTTGGATGATGAAAAAAAAATTTGCGAATAAAAGAGTTGTGTGATACATGCAGATGCTTCAATATACAAATTAACACAACTCTTAAGAAATAATTGGATATATAAATAAGAACTCTATATTAGCAAGGACATTGAATAATTTTAATTGTTACAGTATAATATTAATCAATCATATTTTTGCTATTATTGTAATAATACATTCTACAAATTGGTTTGAACAAATGCGCATTCCATCATTCCACTCTAATTTTCCTACAATTTTACAATCAGGATCGTTCCATGTTCCATTTGGTGTGAAGTGATTGCCAGTGGCCCTATATATTGAAACTTTTCCCTGAACATTTGTTAAATTATTTTTTCAGATAATTGATGGAAATGAAATTAATGATATTAATGTAAGATATCTGAGAAGCCAAATGGGGCTCGTATCGCAAGAACCTGTCTTATTCGATATGACGATTAAAGAAAATATCCTTTATGGCTTAGTAGGAGAGGTTACAATGGATAAGATCATTGAAGCTGCTAAAATAGCAAATATTCATGACTTTATCATGAAGCTTCCACAGGTATGTTACAATTTTATTAATTTAAGGGGAGGGGAGCTTTTGCACCATAGCTCCCCGTTCCTCCCTCCAAAATGGTAAAATATAACCATGTTTTACAGAAAAAAGTATTAAAAACAATCTCTTAAAGTATTCTTGTTTTTGTAATTAAATTTAATAGGACTTTAAGATCCACTTAAACACCATTTCATATAGGTAGTTAATTGATTTATCTTTTTTCCAAATTAATTATCACTATCGCTTAATTGTCGCACAGGGTGTTTCGTAATTGCACGGCACTATTTTAGGTATGTGTTCACTAACACAAAATAAACCAAAAAGTTCATATTAACATATATCTAAAACTCATTTATTAAACAGATATCGAAGGTTGAAGATTTATTATTTATTTACTACATTAAGACTGACTGTACAAAGTTTAACGTGTTTAATACTAAATAACAGGTTTTAATAACTTAATAAACAAATGAATGATAAGCAATGACAGTAGTTGGTCATCTGTTATTCTAGTGCTGTATGTTTTAGTGTGAGCGAATACTGTGACACAGTTCACTTTATGATTATCATGGGAGACACCATAAATTTATTCACTTTTGCAGAACTAACGGACATGCTTTTAGCTTATGGTGAGGTCTATGGTTTATTCTGCGCCAGTTGGTACGCAAGAAAAGCTAAGAATAGGATCGTGGAAGCCACAGTAACTATCCAGCACCATACTGATGCTATACAAAATGCCAGAGAAGCATGGATTCGTCGTGCTGAACGTTGCATTCAACAAAACGGAGGCCCCTTTGAACAGTTACTCTAAATGTTATAATAATAATAAATAAATAGTCATAATAAATAATAAATCTTTAGCCTTTGATATCTGTTTAATATTAGTTATATATATATATTAATATGAACTTTTTTATTTATTTTGTGTTAGTGAACATATAACTAAAATAGTGCCATACAATTAGGAAATACCTAATATGAAAAAAAAGCTTTCGGGTTGAAGCCCTCCCCCAAAATTAAATCCTGGATCTGCTAGTGTAGCCATCTCTATATTTTTTTGTATTTTTTTTTCCAGGCTTATGACACCCCAGTTGGTGAAAGGGGTTCAAAGTTATCAGGTGGACAAAAGCAGAGAATCGCCATTGCCAGAGCTGTCCTTAGGAATCCTAAGATATTACTACTGGATGAGGCTACGTCTGCTCTGGACACAGAGAGCGAGAAGGTACGTTGTGACAAACTAAATAATTAAAGGACCTTATTTTAAAAATTTTAACTAAATTAAAAGCCATTAGAATCCCTTTGATCAGATATTTCCGAGCATAAGATTGTTTTTTATTTTTCACAGGCTGTACAGGAAGCATTGGAGAACGCTTCTGTCGGTAAGACAACTATCGTGATAGCACATCGACTTTCGACGATCCGTGAGGCAGACAAGATAGTTGTCCTACAGTCTGGTGTTGTCATAGAGGAAGGGAATCATGAACAGCTGATGGAGAAGAGAGGCCACTATTTCAACCTGCTTAGCAGATAGTTGTATTATATATAATGTATATAATTCAATTACATAAGATGTAAATATTGTATTTTTAATATGATATTATTTATAGTATTCATTTTTAGTATTATATAAATGTCCAATTTTCCTCTTTTTTTTTTAATTTTCATTATCACTATTTATTTATTTTTTAAAATGTAAATTTTGTAAATAATTAAATTGTTGTAATTGATTTTTGTTTATAAATTTATAAAAAATACATGTTTCTTTAATTATTTTAACAAAAAGTTATTTATCTATTGCCATTTTCCATTTTTTTTATTTAAGATTTTCTTCCATCCTTCTCCCTGATACCATTTTCAGCTAGTGTTTCTTCCACGTCTTGTTTCCATTTTACCTTTGGTTTTAATTTTTTCCTTCTTCTTCCACTTCCAGTTTCATACTTATCTCTGGTAGTCTTAATGGAGATGATCTTTTAACATGCACTAAACAACATATATATATATTTTTTTCAATATTTGCTATACTGTTTCTTTTCACCTCTATCAGTTCCAGAATACCATCTTTTCCGAAATTCCATTTCCACCACTACCAGTTTTTTTGGTATTTTGCATTGACAGCCCATGTCTCCAAACTATATGTCATTATAGGCTCAAATAAAGATTTGTATATTATCCTATATATATATTAGCCATTGAGAATTGCAGTGATTTTTCTTCCTTCACTGATTCTCCAATCAATAAAATTGGTGGAGGTGCTTTCACTATTAAATACTGATCTCAGTATAATAATAATAAATTTAAACAATCTTTTTACATTATAAGATAAATTTAAATTGTCATTTAAAACTTTTTTTTGTACTTATAAATATCTTCAAATTGTTATACTTCTTAGATCCATTACATTTTACTAATTAATTCGGCATAGAAGATAATGGTGCACTGAGACAGGCCTGACATAAAAAACAATATTGTTAGCTTACCATGTAATACAAAAAATTTGGTGCAGTGCACACATCACACAACTTTCATTTACCATCCTACTTTGAGTAGAAAAGGATATTTTCCATGTAAAGGAATGTAAAAATATTAATTGTAGACAATATAGCATATTCATTTAAAATAATTAGTTATTTTTGATATGTTTTTCCCACATACCTAATCTATTAAATTTATGCATTTTTCCCGACTATCCATTTCCTTCTATAACTGTATATATTAATTATTTATCTAATTATAGCCTCAACAAGGATGCCATAGAAAGAAAAAGATAGCATTTATGTGACGAACCTTTTTACATTTGCTTTTGGGTTGATAGTTAAGTTCAGATTTTCTTTAAGGACCACTATTTGCTTCAACCTTATTTATTTTCTTCTTCTTCCAAAGGAGAAATGAGTTGGCCCTATAATTGTTTTCTTTTCCTGACAGAAAATCCTTGAAGTGAGGATAGTTTTCTGCTCTCATTGCTGAGAAAAATAGCTGTTCCTCAAAACGTAGAGACCTGTTTTTTCTCAGTAGTTTGGCTCTTAGTGTCTCATAAGAAGCGCAGGCTGTGCAATCTGCTCGGAGGTCTGTGGTATTGAAAAAAAAAATAGTTCATAGAACAACGCAACGATTGATCCTGTAAGACCTATTCGTTTGATAACAGTCTTATTCTTTTAAAACTGATTCAATTCAATTAATGACAAGTCTAGAAATGAATGAAACGTTTTATGTATAAAGTTTGGCATTGTTCAAGCTTGAAATTGATAACCTTTTAATTTATTTTTGATATTAGCCGAAAGCTTAATCTTAAAAATTACTTTTTAACTAATTAAAACTGAAAATTATTTTTTACGCATAGAACACTTTCTATTTTAATAATATTTTAACTTTCTTGTATTAATCTGGTGGTTTTGATTTTGGACAAGTTCCTAAACTCTCAACGATGAGCTTATTGATGACATCCTTTCACCCAGTGTAAAGATGGATCCGGTGCTATCGATGAGCTTAGGAATTTTTCCTTTTTCAAACAAATTGGTTATAAATGTTTTGCCATATTTCTTTATCAAGTGTTGTTCTTAGTTTGAAATTATGCTGCTTGGTCATTATAAGTCTTTTAACTGTAGTTCAAAAATGTTTTCAACTGTTTGCCTTTTTCAATTTTTATAGAACAAAATAGTGTTTATAATTGTGGATTAATGGTTGACTGCAGTGAATAATTAAAGAGAACAATATTTATTTTATTTTTTTATTTTTTTGACTGATCACCTCAATCATTCTTCCCTTCAGTAATAGTATTTAATTTTATGTATGCACTTAAATTGATTTATGTGAATTCGTTCAATCATAAAAAATATTTTCGGTCTAATATAGTTAGATACGTCTAAAAGCATAAATTTTACCTACAAATATCCTTAAGTTAATTTAGTAATGTAGTAACTATAATGAAAGTTTTTATTTATTCCTAGCCTTCATTAATAATCTAGCTAAAAATTGCAACCCTAAAAATAACATTTGAAACATGTCTTATAAAAAAAAACTGTTGGGTTATTTTTATGATGAACTGATAGGTTAATTGGAAAGCAGAATTATATATATTCTACAAACATAAATGTTACTCCCTTCCCCTCTAACCTTGTTTACCTACCTTTTGCTATCTGAAAAAGGACAACTGGGAAATCCTCCACCCCTGACCTTTTTACTTACCTACCAAATGTGTCAGTACTTGAACAACCTCAGTGCTCAAACCATGGTTAGTAAGAGAAAATATTACAAATTTGTATAAATGGATTATATACATTATTTTTTTTAGTTTTAGTTTGTATAACTATTTACATATTTAATTTTAATATGTGTATTGCAATATTAGTTAAGATTCATGTACCATCAATCGCTATAGTTTATTATTTATAATTAGCGGTCGTATACTATTATATCTCTGATTGTAATTAAAAAAAAAACATTTTCAGCCCTGAAGATGACCCACATGTTTGGGTCGAAACGTTGGCAAAAATAAAAAAAATTAAAAATGTCTGCGTCCTGAATATTTATCACCCATGATATGTAGAACAGTCGACTAAGTTCCTTCAATAATTTTTTTTTATTTTACCATTTTGGGAGGGGCTTCAGCCCGAAAGCTCCTCCCTCCACCTTGCAGATCCGCCGGTGCCATAGTATGTAGCAACGTGAGGTTGTGTGACCCCCTCCAAGCTATATGTGCTTTTGTAAAATATGTTTGTATGAAGACTATATCGCGCGGCCAAAAATAAATAGGATATTTCTATTTGTTGCTTATTTAATTCGGTTTATTAAAATACGCTTAAAAAGCAAACAACAAGTATTCTTTATTTTTAATAAATTATTAACTAAAACATAGTCAAAGTGAATAATACTCATTTTGAAAACTAACAATTGTTTTGACTTTACTCAGTTTTAATCCAGTAATATCATGTTCAACGAAGGAAAGACATATTGAACCAGAAGTTCGCAATATTATCGTGAGAATATCGTCGATGCAGTTGGCCCTGGCTACACTAGCGGATCCAGTATTTAATTTGGGAGAGCTTCAGCCCGAAAGCTTTTTTTTCATGAAAATAACGATAATTAGTTTGGAAAAACAGAAAGAAACTAACTACCTATATGAAATGGTGTTTAAGTGATTCCTTAAGTCCTTTTAAATGTAATTACACGAACAATAATACTTTAAGAGGTATTTTTAAAAAAAAATTCTATAAAACACGGTTATATTTTACCATTTTGGGGGAGGCTTCAGCCCGAAAGCTCCTCTCCTCCTCCCCCCCCCGTAGATCCGCCCGTGCCTGAGTGTGGTCTCACGCGCTTCAACCAGATTCAGAAAAACCGAAATTACCAATAGGAGACTTGTAAGTGTATCTCAGAGGAATATTGGTATTGCTACAAGAAGACACTCGTTTTAAGATCGCGTCACTATATTTATTGCTATCTTCGGTGCCGAAGAGTCTACTCAGAAATGGGTACACTGACACCGTTTCTGCTTCCTTGGATGTAGTTCAAGTGGAAGGTAAACTCATTGCAGTTCGTTACGTCCAAGAAATCATCAGGGACTACATTCTTCAAATCAGAACTTTGAGAGGGGGGCCTATATTGGAGGACTGGAGCTGCGAACTATCACAGATGGCTACACTGAGTTGAGGAAATAGTAGGAAGGTTCGAAAAAATAAGGAACCATGTCTTCCATGTTAACACTACAATCTGTTAAATAGAAGCCAACAGAAGAATACACCTTTTTTAGAATAAATTTCCACGAGCAGATAACACATTTACTGATACATTTCGCCTGCAAACTGAACTACCTTGTGTAATTCAGTAACGAAGGGTCATTATCATTATCGATTTCCTATCAACATTATGAATCGATTGGCATAGAGAAATTATATAGTTGTTTCTTTTCAGTGGGGATATCTTGCTAGGACGTCAAAGAATACGATGCCTTCTGGAGGTTGGGAGTTGGACTATTTATTGCCTGTGTTATTATTTTATCATATTTATTTCTCGAGTCTCCTATTAATTATCATTATATAGAAATATATCTAGCATGTTGTTATTGTTATTTTAGTTATTTATATGCACATTGTTATTTTAATAGATTGTTTTATTAGTGAGTTTCTATTTATTGTGAATGTTAATATATTTATTGCAGTTAGTATTTTAGTAGATTATATTTATTAACTTTGTATGTAATTTAGCTTATAGATACAGTTCCATGCATGTTCAACAGCATAATATTCTCGCAGAAGCTCAATTGTAATTATTCATTATTTTCGTGGCACCCGTCTTACAACAACCATAATTGGTACAGATTTTTATTTCCTTGACGACAATGCAAACTCATAGGCAAAAAGTTTTTCATCAATATCTTGAAAATCTAACCATTCAACTGAGATGGCTTTCTGACCATCATTTGCAGTTTCTTAACCTTGAGCAACTGAAAGCCATTTAACCATATTTATGAAATGAAATTACTTGTGAAATCAGTGATAATATTATAAAATTATACTGCGTAACAGATGATATTACACAAATTATTAAATTTTACAAAGTGTTAACAATTCGCAATCATAAAACCAAGATCACGTAAATCTTTACTTCTATTATTTTTTCCTCGTAAAAATATCAACACTTTGAAATATTTGAATTTTACAAAAAAGTCTGTTTTATTCATAATTAAGAAAGGTTCTTAAGTCTATGATAAACTGGGCATAAACACGTTTTATTAAAATAAATTACAATATTTCTTTTAATAAACAAGAAAGTTAACATTTTTAAATTTTC